GGAGCCGAGCCCCGGCGTGCGAGCCGCCCTTGCCGACCCGCGCGCAGCAGTCGACACGCCGCGCACCCAAGAGTCGTGCTTGGCTTGGGGTCCCCCCCTGCGCGCAGCCGGCGCACCGTCTCCATGCCGCCCACGTGTCAGGAGGGAAAAACACACACAGACACAATGAATCGTCGATTCCCCAGAAAATGTGGGAAAATATGGGAAGTGGGGGGGAAGGCAAACAAAAAAACAAGAGAACATAGGAAGAGATGGGGAATCTTTTGACTTGTGTGTATTTATTTGTGTGTCTCAGGGCCCCTTCGTCCATGCCGCCCACGTGGGGTCGAAGCGGATGGGGTCGGCGTGTCGCGCCCCATCGCCGAGATGCGTCGGCGGTGCGGCTCGACGTGCAGCCCACTCTCCTCCACGCCGACGTGCCGCCGACGCCGCCGGCGCCGCCGTCGAGGCATCGGCGGTGCCTCGGCGATGGCGGCACGATCCTCCGACCCCAGGGGCGCGGGCCCCACTCGGGCGTCCTCCGAAACGGGCGACGTGGGCCTGACCGGGCCTCCCCCTCCCGGCATCGCTCGGACGCGTGCGTTTGTTCCGTCGGCGAGGGCCATCGAGGAGCACCCTTGATCATCTGGCGAGAAAGCCAGGCACGAAACCGAAAAAAGCACAGGAGATGGACGTCCGAGCGATGGCCAGGGCGACGTGGGCCTGACCGCGCCTCCCCCTGGGCCGAGCCCGCGGCCAGAGGCCGGGGGCGGCCGAGAGGGGGGGGTGGGGCCGACGACGGGGGCGGGGGGAGGCGGGCGGACACCACGGCTGGGGCTATGACAGCTTCCCAGGAGTCCTGGCGGGCCGCGCACTTGCCTCGGGCCGTGATGGTGGAGGCCTTGCGGTCGGTGCCGCCGACCCTACAGGGGAACGACGACGACGACGACGACGACGACGACGACGACGACGACGACGACGACGACGACGACGACGACGACGACGGCGGCGGCGGCGGCGGCGGCGGCGGCGGCGGCGGCGGCGGCGGCGGCGTTGGCGGCGGCGGCGGCGGCGGCGACGACGACGACAGCGCCCCTGGCCCCCGCCCTGGGCCGCGCACGTGCCTCGGGCCATGATCTGCGACCCCCCCTCTCTTGGACGCCCCCCTGAGCGGGCCACCAGCTGGCAGGCCAGCGCTCGGCGCCAGGATGCCGCGCTTCTCGGGCCGAGGGGGCTTGCCGCTCGGTGCGTGTCAGCCCTATGTTGGGGCGGCCATGACCGTTCCTCATTCCGCCATCTGCCTCGCCCTTCCGCTCTGCCCCCTCCCTCTCCTCGCCCCCGTCCCTTCCCCTCCGTCCTTTTGCCCTTCCCCCCTCCCTCCTCCTCCTCCTCCTTCCCCTCCTCCTCCTCCTCCTCCTCCTCCTCCTCCTCCTCCTCCTCCTCCTCCTCCTCCTCATCCTCATCCTCATCCTCATCCTCATCCTCATCCTCATCCTCATCCTTCATTCAGCCTCATCCTTCATCCTCATCCTCATCCTCATCTCTTCCTCCTCCTCCTCTTCTTCCTTCTCCTGCGCCTCCTCCTCCTCCTCCTCCTCCTCCTCCTCCTCCTCCTTCTCTTTCTTCCTCCTCATCCTCCTCCTCTTCCTCCTCCTCCTCCTCCTTCCCCTCCCCCTCCCCCTCCCCCTCCTTCGAGGCGACTGGGGCCTCGGGCACGTCGCGGAGCTGCGGCCGGAGGACCCCGCGGCCTTCGGCCGCAGCCTCGAGCGCAGCCGCGAGTTCGCGCGCCACTTCCCGGGCGGGGCGCAGACAGGGCCGGGGGCAGAAGGGGGAGGGCGATGGGGCGGGATGGGGGGCGGGAGGAGGCAGGAGGGCGGAGGGAGGAGGAGGGAGGGCGGGACAGGGCAGGGAGGGTGGGGAGGGAAGGGAAAGGGTGAGGGGAGGAGGACGAGGAGGGAGGAGGGAGGAGGCAGGAGGAGATGGAGGAGCGGAGGTGCAGGGGGGAGGAGGAGGGGAGAAGGGGGCGGCGATGCACAAGCGCCTCTGCGGTCGATGTTCGAAGAGCGAGCCTGCAACCTCGAGACCCCCACAGGGCGGCAACGGCCAGCAACGGGCAGCAGCGGGCCGACACGTGGCGGATCTTCTTGGACACCCCCTCAGGCGGTAACGGGCGTCAGCGGGCCGACACGTCGCGGATCTTTTTGGACACCCCCACAGGCGGTAACGGGCGGCAGCGGGCTGGATCGCAGCGAATCCTCGGGACACCCCCGCCAGCGGCAACGGGGCGGCAGCGGGCCGGGACGCGGCGAATCCCCAGAGCACCCCCACATGCGGCAACGTGTGGCAATTGGCCGGAGCCTTGCGGATCCTCGGGGCAGCCATCTGGCTTCAGAAGCGCAAGTAGAAACCCCGAAGCACCGTCTGCGGAATATCGCGGGGGTGCCTGGACATGATCAAGCCCGGTTTGAAATGGAGCCCGCCGCCGCCATCCGAGTATGTACACAATTTCACGCGTTTCGTCGTAAACCAAGAAGGAACGTCTCGAGTCTCAAGCGAGAGCCCCACGTCGGAAAGAAGCCGCCGTCTGCTCGAGTAACAGTTCGCCAGCGCTGAATGGTCAGCCACAGCACGAGGGAGCGACAAGCGACATGCACACTTTGAATGGGAGCCGCCCTTCCTGTGCAAAATTGCTGGGCGTGTGCAGGACCCACATCTGCGCTGCAGAAGGCGACCTGTCGTCTTTTCTCGTCGCTCTGCCGCCTCTCCTCTCGTTTCCTGTCCTCCCGCCTTGTCGTTTCTGCGCTTTGGGCTCGTCGTTGCGTTCCCCTCGGCCTCGTCTTCCTCCTCCTCCTCCTCCTCCTCCTCCTCCTCCTCCTCCTCCTCCTCCTCCTCCTCCTCCTCCTCCTCCTCCTCCTCTCCCTCGTTCCCTCGTCGCCCTCCATAAAGCAAAACCGGGGCCGACCCGACATTTGGGTTTGGGCCTGGGACAAAATTATCCCAGCAAAGCAACCTAACAGCGATGTGTAGAAACATTTCTGAAAGCATTCCCCTTACGATTCAGATGAAAATCCAGTTGTCGAATTCTGCTGTTCTCGCAGTCGTAGTCGCATTCACGATGACAGTCGCAGCGGCAACGGCAGTCGCAGTCACAGCCTCAGCCTCAGCCTGCCTCAGCCTCAGCCTCAGCCTGCCTCAGCCTCAGCCTGCCTCAGCCTCAGCCTCAGCCTGCTTCAGCCTCAGCCTCAGTCTGCCTTCAGCCTCGGCCTCAGCCTCAGCCTGCCTCAGCCTCAGCCTGCATCAGCCTCAGCCTCAGCCTCAGCCTGCCTCAGCATCAGCCTGCCTCAGCCTCAGCCTCAGCCTGCCTCAGCCTCAGCCTCAGTCTGCTTCAGCCTCAGCCTCAGTCTGCATTCAGCCTCGGCCTCAGCCTCAGCCTGCCTCAGCCTCAGCCTGCCTCGGCCGCAGCATCAGCCTGCCTCAGCATTCAAAATGTGGCCCAGGAATGGAGTTCTGGGAACTAGAAGAACACGAAGTGGCCTACAGTTGGCTCCGGGCATTCAAAATCATGCCCAGGAATGGAGTTCTGGGAACTTGAAGAGCACGAAGTGGCCTACAGTTGGCTCCGGGCATCCAAAATGTGGCCCGGGAATGGAGTTCTGGGAAATCGAAGAGCACGAAGTGGCCTACAGTTGGCTCCGGGCATCCAAAATGTGGCCCGGGAATGGAGTTCTGGGAAGTCGAAGAGCACGAAGTGGCCTACAGTTGGCTCCGGGCATCCAAAATGTGGCCCGGGAATGGAGTTCTGGGAGCACCAAGAGCGATTTTGCGAGGATGTCCCAAGCGATTTCGGCTTCGGCGGCACTCCCCGGGTCCCGCCCAGACCCCCCTGAGGAGTCATGATGCTCTCTTTTGAGACCACTAGAAACCTATCAGCAAGAGCTGTTAGGTAAAAAACTATCGCCGTCCAGCCGTGCAGTGGTTCTCGGCCTTCCTGTTGGCCGGAGGGACTTGCGGGCTGGTGCGAGCACTGAGCACCGAGGAGCAGGAGGTGCAGGTGGAGGAGGAGGAGGAGCAGGAGAGAAGAGCGAGCGAGGAGACGAGGGAGGGGGGCACAGAAGGAGGAGGCAGGAGAAGGCAGTAGCAGACAGGATAAGGAGGAGGAGGAGGAGGAGGAGGAGGAGGGATGAGGAGGAGGAGGAGATGGAGGAGATGGAGGAGGAGGGGGAGGAGGAGGAGGAAGAGGAGGAGCGGGAAGGAGACCGACCAGGGCTGCGAGCGCCCGACCATTCGGCACGATCGAAATGGGTACGGAAAGAGCGGGTACGATGCCCAACAGCAGTCCCTCTTCATGCTGAACAAGACTCACTGTCCGCACCGCCGCGGCCTGTGTCCATTCGAGACAGAACGCCGCCTGCCCAACAGCGGCCGCATGGTTTGGGACAACAGTTGTTGTTGGACAGTGTATTCATTGTTTTCCGTACCCGTTTCGGGCGTCCAAGACCACCTTCGCCCCAGCCCCGCCTGAGAGCCCCCCCGGCCCTCGCGGAGCCGCCCGGCAAGCCGGCCGTGGTTCGGGGCGGCGCGCTGGGCTGGCCGGCGCTGGAGCTCGAAGAAGAAAGCGGGAGTCGCGCAATGGGGGGGCGCTGAGTCGAAGAAGACAAAGCGCCAGAAACATAAATTGTTGGCGCTCCGCGCGGATCTCTTGGATCCGCGCTGGGCCCCTCCGGCGCCGCCCCTGGCGCGCGGTGCGCGCCAGGGAAGGGGTCCCTGCGCGGATCCAAGAAATCCGCGCGGAGCGCCAAAAGTTTATGCACGTGTGTGCGCGCGCGTGCGAGTGCGTGCGTGTCCGTGTGCGTGTGCGTGTACGTGTGCGTGTGAGTGTGCGTGTGCGTGTGCGTGTGTGCGTGGGTGCGTGGGTGCGTGTGTGCGTGTGTGCGTGTGCGCGTGTGTGCGTGTGTGCGTGTGTGCGTGTGTGCGTGTGTGCGTGTGTGCGTGTGTGCGTGTGTGCGTTGTGTGCGTGTGTGCGTGTGTGCGTGTGCGCGTGTGTGCGTGTGTGCGTGTGTGCGTGTGTGCGTGTGTCGTGGGTGTGTGTGCGTGGGTGCGTGTGTGTGTGGCGTGTGTTGCGTGTGTGCGTGTGTGCGTGTGTGCGTGTGTGCGTGTGTGCGTGTGTGCGTGTGTGCGCGTAGGGTGCGTGGGTGCGTGTGTGGTGTGTGTTTGGGTGTGTGTATGTGTGTATGTGTGTTGGGTGTGTTTGCGTGGAGTGTGTGGTGTGTGCGTGTGTGCGTGTGTGCGTGTGTGCGTGTGTGCGTGTGTGCGTGTGTGCGTGTGTGCGTGTGTGCGTGTGTGCGTGTGTGCGTGTGTGCGTGTGTGCGTGTTTGTGTGTGTGTGTTTGTGTGTGTGTGCGTGTGCGTGTGCGTCTGCGTGTGCGTGTGCGTGTGCGTGTGCGTGTGCGTGTGCGTGTGCGTGTGTGTGTGTGTCTGTGTGTGTGTATGTCCGTGTGTGTTGTGTGAGTGTGTTGTATGTGTTGAGTATGTGTGTTGTGTCTGTGTGTGTTGTGTGTGTTGTGTGTGTGTGTGTCTGTGTGTGTGCTTGTGTGCTTGTGTGTTTGTGTGTTTGTGTGTTTGTGTGCTTGTGTGCTTGTGTGTTTGTGTGTGTGTGTGTCAGTGTGTGGCAGTGTGTGTCTGTCCGTGTGTGTGTGTGGGTGTGTGTGGTGTGCGTTTGTGTGCGTTTGTGTGTGTTGTGCGTGTTTCCTCCTCTACTGACTTTATTGAGTTGGGGGGCAGCGAGGGCGGCAGAAAGGGGCCCTTTGGGGGGCTCCTGTAGGAGCCCTTCGGGGCCGAAAAAGGGCGCCCCGAAGACCCGGGAGGTGCAACTTTCTCCCCCCAGTGATCGCCTCCCCCGCTGAGTGACGGCCGAAGAAAGACTCGATCAGAATGCTTACTCCGAATATCTTATTGATCACCCGGGGGGTGACAAGCGTGAAAACGCGGCGCGGCCAACCCCCCCCCCGGCACCACCCCCGCGCCCCATCGGGGAAGGGAACGAACCCCAGACCCCCCCTGGCACCCCCGCGGACGCGCCGCGGCCAACCCCCCCGGGCACTCCAAGGGGGGGGCGATCAGTGAGCGATCCAGAGTACGGAAGGAATGGGGACGACGACCGACAGCAGCTGCTGTCCACTCTGAACAGGGCTTGATGTCGGTGTCGTCGCGGATGTCGTCCATTGAAGATTAAAGTCGCCCGCCCAATAGCGGCTGCTGCAAGTTTGGGACTGCATCGTACCGATTCTTCCGTACGGTCGGGCCGAGGTATAGAATCGAGGCCGGTTCGGGGCGGGTGCCCTGACATTATTTGTTTTTGTTGGATGTCCTTCTGCATCCTGGAGGAGGGTACCCTGGAACGTTCTTCAGTTTGGCCGGCGGAGGGCCTCATGTTCTAAGGGTGTGCTTCTGTCCTGGGCCCGGCCGTGCTCATTCCTGGCGTGCCCAGCTGCATAAGCATCGAGGCCCGGAGGTCCGCACAGAGCTCTTGGAGCGGCTCGCCCCGCGCGGCGCCGAGGGGCGGTGCCTAGGCGCTGCAGCGCCGATCCAAGACAGTGGGCTGAAGTCGGGCCTGTCCCTCTACGGGGGGGATATTCAAAAGTAGTCAGGAAACAGTCTGGGGACGAATTTGGGGGCACTTTTCGACCATTTTGGCATATATGTGTGGTGTATGTTTTAGAGCTTTCGTCCAAAATCCCCCTGTATGGGGGACCGGTCCGACCTAATAGTAGGCACGTCAAGGAAGGAATCTGGATGGATGTTTTTGGAGGTGCTCGGGCGGCCTTCTGCGCCTCCGCCACAACGGCGGGGCGCGCTCCTGGAAATCCTGGCCAGGACGCACTGCAGGAGGGATGCGGAGTCGTGAAGGTCGTCGTCAGCGTCGCCGTCGTCGCCAAGGTCGTCGGCCTCACCCTGCTCCACGACCCTCCTCCTGGCACCCCTGTTTCTCCTGCTCCTCCCCTGCCGGGGGGGGGGGGGGGGCTGTCCCTCACCCACCTCTCTTCCTTACGAACTCCCTCTCGTCGCGCCCCGGCGGGTGTCCCGCAGAAATCTCTGGCCCCCCGATGGCCCCAGGGACCCTCAGGAGCTCCGGTCGGACGGGGCCAGGACGAGGATAGATCCGTTCCAGAGCGTTCTAGAACGCTATATTCGGAACGCTCTGAGGAGGCCGCGGCGCCCGAGACGTCCTCGAGAGCCGCCAGATCTCAGCGATTCTCCAGTTATCCTCACCCGATATTGCCCATCGGTCGTTGAAAGTATGTACTCTGGGATTCCCAGATTCCAACATACTTTAAGCGCCTTCCTACTTCAAGGATCGAGTGGCTTCGCCTTTTCCGTCCTCCCAGCGGGGCGGACGGAACCCAATCTACTCTCAACGCCCCCCCGCTTCATGTGTCCACCTGCTGCTTCCGACCGATGGGTCTCCTCACCCGATGTTACCCTCGTCTTGGCTTCGGCTTAGATCGGGTATGGCCAGGACCCCAGGTAAGGGGACCCGGTCAGTGGTAGGGCCCCGGAGCCTCCGAAATGGCCAGAATCATTATTAACCAGGTTTGCCATAGCTGCTGCTTTCTCGGGGGGGGGGCAGTTCCGGTCAGTGGACATGGGGCGGGGGGGCGCCCCCGGCACAGATCACGGAACCAGGTTCCACTAAACCCAGTTCTACCAACTTACCAGTTTGAAAAATATCCCTACCCCTATGTTTGACATCACCTCACCT